CCCTCCGGCACCCGCGGGCCCCTCGGCGCCCCCGGCGCCTGTGGCCGGTCCGGCCACCCGCGCCCGTACGGACGTTTTTCGCCCGAGCTCGTGCTACGCCTCGGATGAGTACGTCCATGCGGCGTCCACCTCTGAGCCATCGCCGTTGCCGTACTCCGTTCGAGCCGCTCTTCGTGACCCGCTTTGGATGGCTGCGATGCAAGAGGAGTTTGATGCCCTGTTGCGCAACCGGATGTGGCAGCTTGTTCCCCGTCCCCGGCACGCCAACGTGATTTTCGGGAAGTGGGTCTTTAAACACACGCTCCGTCCTGACGGTACCCTTGATCGCTACAAAGTGCGCTGGGTCGTTCGTGGCTTCCGCCAGCATGCTGGCATCGACTTCACCGACACCTTTGCTCCGGATGTCAAGCCCGGCACGATACGCACGGTTCTCCACCTTGCGGTCTCCCGTGCTTGGCCGGTGCACCAGATGGACATCTCCAACGCCTTCCTCCATGGTCACCTTGAGGAGCAGGTCTTCTGCCAGCAGCCCACCGGGTTTGTTGACTCGGCGCTTCTCGACCACGTGTGCCTGCTTTCGCGGTCCTTATACGGACTCAAGTAGGCTCCGCGCGCTTGGTACCAGCGCATCGCGGCGTTTCTCCATCAGCTTGGGTTCCGCTCTACCCGCTCGGACGCCTCACTCTTCGTCTATCATCAGGGCTCTGACACGGCCTACTTGCTGCTCTATGTCGACGACATCATCCTGACGGCATGTACGGCTGGTCTTCTCAGTCAGCTCACGGCTCGTCTTCGCGCTGAGTTCGCCATCAAGGACTTGGGTCCTTTGCACTACTTCCTCGGTGTCGAGGTGGTGCGCCGTCCAGATGGCTTCTTCCTTCATCAGCGGAAGTACACTCACGAGCTCCTGGAGCGCGTCGGCATGCTTAACTGCAAGCCCGCCACTACGCCTGTTGATACGAAGGCCAAGCTTTCTGCCACGGATGGTTATCCTGCTTTGGATGATGCTTTCTATCGGTCTATCGTTGGTGCTCTCCAGTACCTCACTCTGACTCGACCGGAGATCCAGTATGCCGTGCAGAAGGTGTGTCTTCATATGCATGCACCTCGAGACGTTCACTGGGCTGCCGTCAAGCGGATTCTCCGCTATATCTGTGGCACTATGGATCTTGGCGTCATGCTTCACGCCTCCGCCGACACCGTCCTTACAGCCTACTCCGATGTAGACTGGGCAGGCTGCCCTGACACTCATCGCTCCACTTCGGGCTATTGTGTCTACCTTGGACCCTCACTTATCTCGTGGTCATCCAAGCGGCAGCCTACGGTCTCTCGTTCCAGTGCTGAGGCTGAGTACCGTGTGGTGGCCAACGCTGTCGCCGAGTGTTCATGGCTTCGCCAGCTACTTCAGGAGCTCTCTTCCCTATTGACCGTGCCACGGTGGTTTACTGCGACAACGTCTCGACGGTCTACCTCTCCGCTAACCCGGTGCATCATCGACGGACCAAGCATATTGAGTTGGATATCCATTTTGTTCGGGAACAGGTGGCTCTTAGCCATATTCGTGTTTTACACGTCCCTACTTCCCAACAATTTGCAGATATCATGACCAAGGGCTTGCCTAAGGCGTCATTTGAGGAGTTTCGGTCCAGTCTTTGCGTCAGCCGCGGTGCCACTTCGACTGCGGGGGGTGTTGAGTATATGTGTTGTGCATATTTGTGTATTGGGCCCACCTCCTAGTTTCCTTATATAATTGAGGTCGTGGCCTACTTTTGTACATCATATATATGTGCGTTTGCACCTGAGGAATACAACACGTAATTCCCACAACATACACTGGGCTTTGTGTGTTTTTTGTCTGAGTTGGAGATGCATGGTAAAAAAAGGGAAAAACAAACAAACAGTTAAGGCAACAGATAGAGCGGGTTGTTTTTTGGATGAGGTGGACTGATGTCATACTTAGATGTGAGATAGTTATCTCACATCTAGATGATCCCTAAACACACTCAGCTTCGAGTAAATTATACGTCACCAAAAAGTGTCATAAAAACCTCCAACCCCAACAGTTGATGTAAATAGGCACTAGGGCACTAGTGCTCCGATAAGTGATTTAAACTTGGAATGACTAGATCATTTCAAAAAATACCAAGTTCATTTGAAACTAACATAGTTCATACTACAAACTAGATCATATCTACTTCACCATCACCCTAGACATAAAACTACTCGTTGGACGCCGAATTGCTCACGAACTAGGCCCAGAATGAGGTTTATAAAAAAAACTAGGCCCAAAATGAGTCTGAGTTGGGATCGTTAGAGTCGTGGAGCTCCTCCTCCCCCTCACCGGCCTTGATGGGAATCACTATCGAGGGGCCAGCCTCGTCCTCCTTCTTCGCTTGCTTCTTCTTGAGGTCATGCTTCCAATGGAACTTCAACTCGTTCTGAACTTATTGGCGATTCTCTCGTGCTAACCTCGCCATCGCCACTTCATCACTCTCGCCAGGAGCAATGTGGATCGCCGACTTCTTCTTCTCTTCGATCAACCGTTTGCTAAAAAGCTATACATTTGTCTTTTTGTGTAGCTCTCATTTTAACGTATTTCAATACGAAAATTTACATGTAAATTATGTCTCTAGGTATGTGTATTTTTTAAGAATTATTTGAAGGTGAAATATTTGAATTTTGAAGGTTCAAATCAAGGCCTACATGGAGCTCTGTGCCCCTTTGGCATTTTCGACTCTCAGTACCAATATGCAGATTTGATAATATATGTATGCGTTAGTGAAACATCATAAAATTATTTTTCATGAAAAATAATGCCATGATTTTTTTGTTAATTAGCGAGATGGAGAAAGTTTGAGTACTACATAATTTATCGTATTCCTCATGATGAAACTCCCCTGAGTAGAATAGACTACCCAGCCGTTTTTAAATAGCTACCACTATTAGCAATTACCATACATTTCACACATTTCTGTAAATGTAAACCTCTTTCCTATCATTCAACGGGTTACATTAATGATCTCCCGGATATCTCCACAACAAATGTGTGCAATCAAAGCTACAAATCAAAATGTGCTTATAAGAATTGAGTTCATTCCTTGTGATCTCTGCCCTTCTTTCTCTTCCATTTGAGATATATTTGGAGAGAGAGGCCAGAAAAGACCATCACGACACTTCCCCATTGCTCCATGGACAGTGGGTTACCACTGATAACTGATGAGATGACGATGCTCATGAACTTGCGGGTGGTGGTGATGGTAGTGTTAGTAAGAGAGCCGAATCTGCTGATGGTTAGGAAGATGAAATTCTGACCCACAGCGCCGCATAGGCAGAACATGAGAATGTCCCATGCTACCTCTGGGTTCTCGCGGCAAAAACTCACCGCCTCAAAACCGTTTGCATATGGCCAGTTACTGAACAGCAATGGCGCCACAAACATAATTACAGTATTGTATATGGTTCCCCAGAGGTTCATGCCAAGCATTATATCCCAAGGGTTAGTCTTGGGGTACCTGCAATGATACGATATTACTTTCCATTCAGAAAGAATATAACACAATTTTGCTTTGAAGTGGAACTGATAGATATCTTTACCTGGACTTTATCAAATCTTGGGTCGAATTAGTGTAGCCATCAAAAGCTAAGTTGAGGAAGCACAACCCGTAGCCAAGAGGAGCATTAGGGTTAGCAAGCTTCTTGATAGTCTTCGAGCTTGTCTGATTCAGTAAAAACAAACAAAAACTTCAGAAGTGGCTTTAAGTACAATTATTTGGATGTGTCTTTTCTTTCTCAGGGTCTACGTAAAAGCTAGCTAAGCGTAGTCAATACTTCATCATTAAAAAACGTATGGAATGACGTAAATTATTTTTTCTTGGTTTAAAACTATAGATCAGACAAAAAGTTTTAATGGTTTCAGGAGCATCATCAAAGGCATGCAAAGCTCATTGCTGGTTTGTTGATTAAAATGTGAAAATAAAGAATTCCTTACCTTCAACAATGCAAAGGATGAGACGCCCCCGGCAACAAGGAAGGTGCAAAAGTACTCTGGAAGTGTATACTTAACACCATAGAGTATAGTTCCCATCAACATAACTGTGCATAATGAATCAACAGTTAGAAAGACCAGTACAAAGCTGTCCAGCTAAGAAGCATGAAAGGTTAATCATCACTCAAAAGACTTAACGCAGATTGCTCAGTAAGACAGTTATTTATGTGATATCAACTATGCATGGCTTGAGATTGGAAATGTAAACAATGCACACAAGGATTTCAAGTTGTGCAGGGCATACTGATAGGCTGAAACAATAACATGGTGGCAAAATGGAATAAAATGCTCCTTATACAAAATGACCCACTCCCCACACATGCTTGATTGAAAAATAGAACTGAAGTTCCAAAAGTTTCAGTACTGTACAGAGATTTGTCTGCGAGTCTACTTTAGTCATTTTTGGACAATTTCATGAACAAAAATAACACCCTAGCTCGTTTTTGGTGGCTGCATATACTTGAGAGTTAGTGGGCATAGCAATAGTAGTTCATGTATAAATTCCTCTAGATTGGAGACAATGAACCAGAATAACCTTGAGATCCTATTTGTTTGTTTTGAGCCCTAGTTAATAATAGTGATGAGATGCACAGTTTTTGGACATTCGTAGAAAGGTGTACTTCACTTTACTCAGTAACTGATGAGGTGAACTGGCGTACCAATCACTCTAAGAACAACCATTATATGCAGCATTCATATGAGAAGTGTAGATAAAAACTGCATTGTATGCATGCATCTACGCAAAACTCACCTGGAATCATCTTAGAAGATTTTGCCAAGACCTGTTACAGACAAAAAATAGTTCAAGATCCTTGATCTCCAGTAGTTTTGTGCATCATTGAAAAAAACCAGCAATATTTCGTCCATTTGAAGTGCATCTTTGGTATTTAACTAAATCATCAAATTCAAATTCCACACAAGATTGAGATACGAAGCAGGCGTGTTACCACTTTTCTAATAGTTAGGCATAGTGTAATGTCATGCACTCTCGCGTATAGGATTAAACATGGGTTGAAAAGCATCAGCATACCCAATATTGTACATAAATGTGATATCCAGTGGTAACTAGGTATCCCTTCTAGGATGGTAAGCCCATACTGCTGCCTTAAAAACTCCAATCACCCATTGGCCAATTTCTTAGCACAGTTAACTAACTCAAGACTAGAACATTTCTACTCCATAACCACCACTTACTACATTAACGGTTAACCCAATCAACACCTAATTGCAAATGCAACATCCGAAGAAAATTCTGTACACCGAAGACGCGAAGGACGGCAAAAGCGGCTGGATCCAAACCTGAGCCGGGTAGCTGATGTACTTGAGCGCCTCGATCCCCATGGTCGGGCCGATGGTGTTGGTGATGCTGACGCCCCAGTACTTGAGAAGCGGCGCCCGCCCGGCAGGACTGCTACCACCCGACCACAGCTTGATCACTGCAGGAACCGACCAAAGTCACGACCCCTTCACACGCAATCACCATCCAAGAGCAGCGAAACCGCGGCCGCATTCGGCGAGAAATGCAAAAGAGCAGTTCGGGGGTGCTCACTTATGAAGGACCAGACGAAGCAGACGACGTTCTGCGCGAAGTTGAGGAACGCGAGGTGATCGAACCGCCGCTCCTCCGGCCCGAATCGCTTCGTCGATCTGAGTCGAGGGGGAAAAGCAGAGAACCCGGCGAACTCAGCCACGTTTATCTCTGTCGGGAGCCAACACCATTGGGAATGGGGGGAGGGAGAGGGTGCTTACAGCGTCTCCTGGAGGATCCCCTGGGTGATGTAGGACGACCAGATCCCGCCGACGCAGAAGGCGAGCACGGCCACGCGCGAAGCCAGGCTGCCGCCGCCGTCGACGCGGGGAGGGCCTCGGACCCCGCCTCCGCGGCCCTGGCCCTTCCGCGCGGACACCATGGCGCGTTCGTTTGTGCGGTTGTGTTCGCCGGCGAGGGGGATCGGTCGCAGGCTCCCGGGGGTCAGAGGAGGCGAGTGTTATAGCAGTTGGGCGTAACCGCGGAAAAGGAGAGCGCGCGTCAGAGGAGTGACGTGGCGTGGCGTGGTTGGCCGGGAGGTGCCAGCGGGGACGCCGCATTGGCTGGGTTGGCGTGGAAGGACCGGTCCGAGTCTCCGAGGCTCCGTGCGGCTGAGCTCAACTCTTCTCGACTTTTCTTCTGATCGCAGTTTTTTTAGGGATCTTAACCCAAACGAGGACACACCGAGAGCATCTTCGACCGCCACTCAACATGCAGCGCGCTAGAAAATTGTTTGCAGCATGCTGATCGTGAGTTTTTCATGGCGGAAGCGCTTGCTCCAGCGGCTGCTGAAAAGTTTAGGAGCTGTTTGATTCCCAGCCTAAGGTTGCCACGCTTAACCTTAGTCATGCCACAACATCATGTATTCGGTTCATTGCCGTATTTGTGGCTTGCCACATTTTTCTAGTTATATGACACACATGTCATAGGCTCATTTTTTTGCCAAATCTTGTCACACTTGTGGTGCCTATTTTGTTAGCCACATTTTTTATGGCAGCCACAGTTTGCCTAAGATTAGTTGTGGCAAAGTTAGTCATGAACCAAACAGGCCTCGTGCGTGAGCCGCTCTAACAGTCACTGCAAAAAAACTATGCGTGCCCACTCGCACAAACAACATATGCACTCCAAACACAACCAAAAAGATCAAATACAAAAAAAATCAACAATAAAAAGTTCAATTTTATTATTACAACTCAAACAAATAGTTTATCTTGTAATAGAACAAATAGCTCAACAATACAACATCAAACATACAAATCATGACGCTATTTGTCGGCCATTCCATGCCCACCACTCCTCGATGAGATCCTTCTGAAGATCATCATGCGTTTCGTCACGTCGAAGTGGCATGATAAGAGGCAACAAAACAGGCCACCCTAGCAGCCCTCCGTCGCACTCGCACAGGATGTCCCAAGAGCTCATACTGAGAGTAGCCATAGTTGTCTGTATGACCATTTGCTACAAACTGCACCGGTGATAGTTCACCATTTGCAATCTTATTCATCAGTGATGACCGATTAACAACGTGCATGTCATTCAAAGATTCAGGCATTCCAAAAAAAGCATGCCAAATTCAAGTCTCTTGATCGGCCACCGCTTCAAGGATTATAGTGGAACCCTTTTTTTGGCCGTGGAATTGCCCATGCCATGCCTTGGAACAGTTCTTTCAACTCCAATGCATGCAATCTATTGAGCCAAGCATACCTGGGAACCCATGAGCTTTGTTCATCTCCAAAAGCCTTGCGGCGTCTTCAGCATTGGGAGATCTCAAATACTCCGGACCAAAGACTTGCACAATTTCGACTGTGAAGCGCTTGACACACATGATGGCTTGACTCTCACCCATGGCCAAGTGGTCATCAACTAGATTAACCGAAATACCGTATGCCAACATACGCAAAGCGGCTGTCACCTTCTGAAAGGTGCTATGCCCGAGCTCTCCGGCGTCATTCCTCCTTTGCTGAAAAAACCGATCATGGCTCGCTAGTTTCTCTGCAATGCGCCTGAACAACTCGGTGCTCATCCTAAAACCGGCGTCGGAAGTATGACTCGGGGTACCCGGGATTATCCACAAAGTAATGCCTCATCAATCTGTTATGGGCATCGATCATATCCCTCCAAATTTTCTGCCGGCCCATAACCGAACCACCGTGCTTCGGTTCTTTATGGATGTGCATAGCTAGGATCATTGCAAGATCCTCCTCCTCTTAAATATCAAATTCTTCTTTGGGAGAATCATATGACGAACTCATCTAAAATGTTCAATTTAAACCAGGCTATAAAAACTACAAACAACATGCACCAAATTCATGTAAAAATGTGAAGTTCAAGCAATACATACATTGCAAGCGTTTTGTCGAACACCTTGTGGGCGCCGAGCGGCAGTGGGCGGTCAGGCGCTGTTCGTCGGAAGAATGGCGCGCGCGAAGGGCGGCGGCGACTGGAGGGAGACGGAGGAAGCAGCGGCGGCGCGGGGATAGGTCTGGGAAGCGCCGGAATGGTCGTCGGAACAAATGAGGTGGTGCGGGCGGCGGCGCCAGCACCTGGGTCGGGGTAGTGGTAGTCGCGAGCGGGCGCTCGAGTATGCAGCGCGCGGGAGCGGGTGCGGCAAATAAACGGTGCGCGATCGCATTTCGCACCGTGTGCTAAACTTTTTATGTCGCGTGCGCGGTTATTGCACCTCCGCTGGAGCTCACAGAGCGGTTGCGCGCGCGTAAAAATCCCAAAATTTCCAGCGCGGCTGTTGGAGATGCTCTGACCAAATATGTGTAAACACAATTCGAAAAAGAACAGAAGAGGTTGCGTAAACACGATGCGGACAAATCTACTGATTTTTTAGCATAAACACGACGCCGACAAATCTATTGTTTTTTCAGACTCCATTTTCAAGGATTTGGTAATAGGTAGTGCTGATTATAAACTGACGTTTTTCTTAAACACAGTACAAACACGAACTTTTAAGGACGTACATGTACATTCACCCATTTAAATGTAGAAACGTACCCCCTCCGTAAAAAAATGTGAGTGTTTAGATCACTATAAAATAGTAATCTAATTATATATTTCTTTACAGGGTAATGCTACTGGGTAGAGTTCAAATTTCAACAAGTGTTCCATCCTGCTCGGTGAGTCATGTCCATTGTCTGTTAAGGAGGAAGTTCGGAACCTGCTGAATGTGTCTAGCTTGTTTTCTGAGGAGAAGCACTTGGGCCTCCCTACACCAGATGGTCGCATGTCCAAGGAAAGTTCCAAAACCTCCAGATGAGCTTAACCAAATGCCTTATTCAGTGGGGAGATGGCCACCTAGCACAACCAGAAAGGGAAACACTCATCAAGTCAATGGCTCAAGCTTTGCCAACTTACATAATGGGGGTGTTCAAGTTGTCGTTCTCGGTCTCTGATGAGCTCACAAAGATGGTGAGGAGTTTTTATTGGGGTTCGGCTAATGGGAAGAGGAAAGTACATTGGCGGGCATGGGAGGATTTGATGCAGCCAAAAGATAGGGGAGGGCTGGCTTTCGAGATTTTCGACTCTTCAACCAGCTACTCTTACCTCGGCAAGCCTGGAGATTAGTCTCCAAACCTGTCAGTTTGTGTGCACAAGTGTTAAAAGCTAGATATTACTCGGATGGCAAACTAGAAGATATTGTTTTTTACGAGGAATACATCGCCTTCATGGCAAGGTGTCTGCTATGGGCTAGAATTATTGAAGAAAGGACTTATTTGGAGAGTTGGAAGCGGGAGTAGCATTCGTGTTTGGCAAGATAACTGGATCCCTAGGCCGTTTTCTTATAAGCCTGTCACGTTGCAGGGAACATGTCGTATACGGTACGTCTCTTAGCTTCTGAACGAGAACGGGTCCTGGAACTATGAGCTACTACAATAGTACTTCATGTTGGCGGACGTTACTACGATCATGAAAATTCGAGCTTCCCTTCGTCTTGGGGAAGATATACTTGCTTGGGGGCCTGGAGCTTATGGTATTTATTTTTCTGTTAAGAGTGGTTACCAATTGGCTTTTGATGAAGTGCATAGAAATTTGGCTACTGGTTCGAGTACTCGACCTAATGGTAACCGCTCCTGCTGGAAGTTAATATGGTCTTGTGAGGTTCCACCATCTATCTGGAATCTTGCCTTGAAATTAGCTACCAATGCACTACCTACATGGCAGAAGAAGTTCATTAGAGGACCGGAGCTGAATAATCTTTGCCCAAGATGCTCTTATGAACCTGAGGATAATTTCCACCCACTGTGTCGCTGCCCTCAATCGTGTATTCTATGGGATACGATGTCAGATGTGTGGCATTTGCCGAACCTTTCGTCAATACAAAACACTGGGAGGGAGTGGATGTTGCACGTCCTCGAGCCACTACCAGCCACTGAGCAATCCATGGTGTTGTTTACCTTGTGGCGTGTCTGCTATATCTGAAATGAGGTGGTCCATCATAAACCAGCACCACCCATGGAAGCATCTAAACGTTTTCTTGTCAGCTACTTGGATTCGGTCATAGCTGGACTTATCATCAGATACATTAAAAGGAAAACATATTCTTACATATGATAGGGAACTACTACAGCCACATGTGATAATACCGGTTCGTCCACCTGATACATGGCGTCCTCCTTGCTCTGGATGGGTTAAACTTAATATTGATGGCTCTTTCCTTGATGATGGCTCTGCTGGAGCGGTTATGGTGCTTAGGAACAACATGTGAAACATCATTTTCTCAGCGTGTAGACAATTGTTCTCGAGCAGAGATGCTCTTGAAGCGGAGTTGTGTGCATGCATATAAGGACTCTCCTTTTCCCTGTAAAGAAGTGATCTCCCAATCTCCATTGAGATGGACTCAATTGTGGAAGTGAAGCTTGTTCAGGCTAAAGAGGTTGATAGATTAGTTTACTCTTCGTTAGTTACATAAGTCCACTACAAAAAAATACACTTCCGTGATGATACGTGTTTATCATAGTAGGTTGCGTTTTTTGTCATGCATGTACATCCATGACAAATTTATGACAGAATCAAGATAGTCATACCCGTGCTATCGTAGAAGTGTTCCATGACATTACCAAAATTATCATCACGAAAGTGTCCACTTCCATGACGATAAATCGCGCGTCACAGAAGTGCTTTCGTCAAGGATGACCGACACGTGGCATCCACCATAACGGAACGCCGTTAAGCTATCGGGTCGGGTTTTGGATCCGATAACCCGTTAACAGCCCCGACCAATGGGGATTTCCCACGTGTAAAATCATCATTGGCTGGAGGAAACACGTGTCGGCTCATCGTTGGGACAGATGTCATCCACTCATTGGACAGAAGGCGCCTATGATACGTCGACACGTGGCACGACCAATCAAGTTTAAATGGGCCGGCCCAACT